ATAATTGAGGGAAATCAAAGACACTTGGCATTGGATCTTATAATTACTAAAAACTGGTAAATGTTTCTTTTATTGATCAGAATTAAAATTTCTACTGATTTTTCTCACCCAGACTCTCCCTGAGGGCAGCTTGTGTAAATCGCTCTCTTGGACATGTTACTGGAAAGGACAGTGTAAGTAGTAGAGAAGTAGAAAAAGGTAAAGTGAGAAGATACCAATATTATCCATATTAGCAAATATGATCCTGTGGAAGATACAGCCTACATTGTTCGTTCCAACAGGCATTCAGTTTCTGCCACAGATCCATGTCTCCTGTCTGGTTACTAGAGTGGCTACGCTTATGGGAGAAACACAAGCACAGCCTGAGGAAAAGGTGGAGGAGGCCTCGTTAGCTCTTCCTTTCACCTCATGGGACAGGACCCCCTAAATTCCCTGCTGCTTCTGCCATGCCAGGCTGGGAGGCTGTCGGGGCCTCCACATGTGGAGCCTGATGCCCAGTTGCGAGCCGCTCCCCTGTGGCCTCCAGCTCCTTCCTCTCACACAAACTCAGAGAACGTCCTGTGAGTTCCCCAGAGAAGCTCCTCCCTGGGGCAGCCGGGACCCCAGGCAGGAGGTTTGTGTTCGGGCCTGAACCACTGTGGGAGGAGACTGTAGATTTTGCCCGCAGTAATAAACTCCCATATCTTCAGCCTCCACCCTGCTGATCCTCAGCATGAAATCTGTCCCTGACCCGCTGCCACTGAACCTGTCTGGGACCCCAGTGAAACGGTTGGAAACCAAGTAGATGAGGAGCTGTGGGGACTGGCCTGGCTTCTGCAGGTACCAATGTAAATAGGTGTTTCCATCACTCTGTAGGAGGCTCTGACTGGCCCCACAGGAGATGGAGGCCAACTCTCCGGGGATGAGGGACAGTGACAGCGGGGTCTGTGTCATCACGATTTCCCCACTGGATCCTAAAGTAAGGGGAGAGAAATACAAGATTATATACAAACTTTATGAGCCATTTCAGAATTTTTCTCTTGTTATTTCTTTCAGGCTAAATCATTTTAAAATGTTTGATTTCTACCCTAAAATATCCAATTTCAAAAAAGAATCCACAGTTTGCAACAAACTAAGGGGCCTCAAGAAGTCACCTACACCTTCCCTCTCCTTCTGTATCACAGTCTTCATCAGAGCACAGACCCTTCCTGGTTCCTTCTCGAATTTTCCTCAGGCTCATGGATCTAAACATGCCCTATCCTAGAAAGCAAGCTGTGTACCTCTGACATGTGGACATCATAACCAGTTGTGTCCCCAGCACTCACAGTCCCCACTCTCTATTCCTTTCTCAACCTCCCTCTGTCCTTACCAGTGATCCAAAGAATCAACAGCCCCCGGAGCTGAGCAGGGGAAGTCATTTTGGGAGGTTGAACTGATGAGCCCTGATAAGCAAAATGAGAACTGACCTTTTATCTCAGACTTGCAAGGGAAGGGCCTCCCTAGAGAACAACATGCAAATCCTCTGTGTGGAGAGAACCAGTGCAAAGGGCTTGAGGAAGCTCTCCTGGAGCAAAGTAAGAGCAAATGTCTCTACATTTGAAGGAAAACCAACAGAGATAAAATCTATGCTGCCTAAAGGGTAGATGTTCACAGTTACGTGTCCCCTTTTATTTTCTATCCCAGTTTTCTGGGTTTCCAGAAATTTCCTAGTCATATTTACATTTTAGTGTAGTTGAGTTGCCACAAATATTTGGTGATTTTTGTTTCTTTCTTATGTTTCTTCAAAAGGCTCTGGGTTTTGTCCTTTTTAATTTCAACTGAGATAAAATGCATATAGAATAAAGGGCACATATTTTCAGGGCACAAGTGAACAGTGACAAATGGTCACTATTGCAATGAAAATACCGAATATTGCAAATCTTCCAGAAGCCTCTCACATGTACTTTTTTGTCCATCTCTGTTCCCAACCACCCTAACTGTCCTTCTGACTTCCTTCATAGTTGTTTGGGTTTCTCTGCCCTTGAATTTTCATATAAATTGAAGAAATTATTCTGTTTCTAGCTTATTGCTAGTCTCTTTACTTCCAAAGACTGCCTTTACTTATTTTTTTCAGATGTTGGTTCTGTTTCAAGCTGCTGTGTCATAAAGGACTTTGTGAAAGGAATTTACTTCAGCCTACATGAAAAGGGATCCTGAGATGGCCATTTTTCATACAATGGAGTGGACTGTGTTTCTTTTCCGATAAACAGTGAGGAGCCACTGGAGATGGAAATGCAATGAAATGGGTGGTGGAAAGAAAAACCCTGAAGAACTCCTAGAGGATTACAGTCTACATGTGAGAGCTAAAATAATGAAGCTTCTAGAACAAAGCCCAAGAGGATAACTTCAGGCTCTAAAGGTAGGGCAAATATTTATTACATGGAACACACAAATACACACACTAAGTTAAGGGAGAAAAAAATGGATAAATTAGACCCCATCGAGACTGGAAGCTTATTTTCAAATATATCATCAAGAAAGTTAATAGACATTCTTAAACATGAGGGAAGATTTTCCAATACATGTTTTTGACAAAAGATTCCATTTCAGAACATATAACAAAAGATAATCCCTCTCTCTCTCTCTCACCATTGTATCTATCTATCTATCTATATCTGTTCCAAACAGATATTGCCCAAGATATCCAAATAGTTAATGAAAAACATATGAGAAGTTACTCAACATCGTTACTCATCAGGGAAATCTACATTTTAACCACAATACCACCTCAAGGTCGACCAATAAAGTGTGACAACACCAAGTATTGCCAGGATTTGCAGCCGCTGGAACTTGAACTCCCAGCTGCTGGCGCGGAAATAGAAAGCGGCAGTGTTTACTGAAACCAAACCTGGGGATTCGGCACTTGCAATCTGAGGAAGGTACTCAAGGAAAGGAAGTGCCTAAGTCCACAAATGACCTTGCAAAAATGTTCCTAAAATCTTCATCAATAACAGTCTCCAATCTAGAAGGAACTCATAGATTGAAAAGGGAATTGTGATAGATTCATATACTAGAGAACTTTACTGAGGTAAAAAGGAATAAATTATGGCCACATCAATAACACAAGTGAAGTTCAAAAACCATGTTGTCAAAGGAAGCCAAAAAGTACATACTGCATGATGTCATTTGTGTGATGTTTAAGACCAGGAAACGGAGCCCTGGTGGCTGCAGGTTCTGGGGGAACATGGAGTGTGGCTGTGACTGCAAGGAGTGTGGGGAAGCTTTTGGTATGTTGGAGACAGCGGCTCTCCGGACTCGGTAGCATTTAGAGGAAGATACGTGTATGTATATGTTGATCTAGGTGCATATTTAAATTCACTTTATATACAGGAAATTCACCTTGCTGCATTTAATATTATCTACTTTTTAAATGAATGAATGAATTAATGAATAGGACTTACAGAGTCTGAAAACCAGACCCCCCCCATCTTCTTCCCTGAAGCACTGATGCCTTGAATAACCTGAGCTCTGAGCTCTGAGAACCCCTGATTTCTCATCTTTAGAGGATGATTGTGTGACTATTTGCTCTGGCTGAGTAAGGCCCTGGTGCAGCACTGAACACAGAGCATGTCTCCAAGACTTCAGCAAAGGCAACTGGCAGGGTCATTACTATCGTTGTTTACTGTCATCAGTAGTATTATTGTTATTATTACTATTATTATTATTGTTATTAATAATATTAGTAGGAATATTTTCTTGGATATAGGCTCCTTTTTCTGCCTAGTGCTCTGTTTTAAAACAAAGCAAAAACCTCGCAGAGTGTTTCTCAGAGAAGGGATTCGAAGACCATACTGCAGACAAATTCCTTTGCAGGCCTGACCTAGAAACCTCCTTGGTAGGATTCACTGAAGGTTTGGTTGTTTTATGTTGTTCAGAAAGGAAGATTTCAAAGGAAGCTTTGAAAGCAGATGCTGGACCCACCGCAAGCCCCGTCCTCCGCCCCCCCACCCCCATGCCCCCTACCCCAGCCCAGGACGGTTTCTGCTCGGGGCTGTAGCACCGTGGAAGGAAGGATATAATCCTGCTGGCAGTAATAACTGGCAGCATCCTCAGCCTCTACTGCGCTGATTTTGAGAATGAATTCTCTGTCCGATTGAATCGCAGAGAACCCGTCTGGGACACCAGACTTGAGGTTAGCAGCATCATAGATGGAAGCTGAGGAGCCTGACCTGGTTTCTGCTGATACCAGCTCAAGTAATCACTGACGCTCTCGTTGACCCCAGGTGATGGACACGCCCTCTCTCAGGGACACCTAGAGGAAGGCCAGAGGCTGGGTCAGCCCCACGTGCCCGCAGGCAGCTCGGTAGAGTACAAAACACAAAGTCACCATTGTTTACCACGTCCCACTCCACATTCCTCCCAGAAGATTCTGGCAGCCCTGGTCCCAGAATCTGAGAGCACCTGGGTTTCGAGGGGAAGGGAGACCTCGGGTCAGGGATCCACAGGGAGGATCCCTGGGGAGATCCCACAGTCAGGAGGAGAGGACTCCCACCATCTCGGGGATGTCCCCTGCACTCCCCTCCTCACCTGGGAGGCAGGCCAGCAGAAGGCAGAGGAGTTGGGTCAGGACTCCCATGTTCCATCTGAGGCCCAGCCTGAGGCTCTTTTGCCCTGAATGTCTGAGCAGCCTCTTCATGAGGATGCTGAAGACCAGAAATGGGCTCTGGGGAAAATCTTTTTAGTTGAAGTAAATATCCTCTAAACCTGGTAACTTGCTGAACTGCAGAGCCCCATCTGAAAGTCTAAGGTGACCTGCATTTCTGTGTTTATAAGAAGTTCTCAGTGATGCAGATGATGCTGCAGGCTTGTGGGAAAATGTTGAGGGGCAAGTCATTTTCATATTAAGGAGAAAGAATGTGGCATTAATGTTTAATGTTTCTGTGTGTCAAAAACGCTTTTTCGTTTATTTGTCAAAGGATTACTATATATTTAATGTATTTCCTCCTTTTCTGTTTACCATATAACTCAATAAAATTTCAGGCTACGATCCCACACTTGCTGATAATACATGGAAGCACATTCAAGTGTATTGTGGGTCCATCCTCTAGCCAGAAGGGCTCTCAGAGTCGTGAAGTCCTGACCATCCTGGGCTGCCTGCTGTCAGCTACCCGTCATTGCCATCCCTTCTGGAAGCACCTCTTTCCTTTTTTTTTTTCTCTATAGCTTCTTTCGAGGTGTTCAACAAGGCAGCTTCACTGGAATTTGGAGGTTGGAAAAGGAGGATTTGATACTCCCTGTCAGCAGCTACAGGCAAAGTGAACAAGGTGAGGACGGGAGAACCACCAGGTGAGGGCTGCAGAGGCTAGAGCATTCTCGGGCTTTCCAACAGGCCCGAGGACCACATGGTTCGGCAGCCTGTACTCTCAGTGGCGATGTGCTCTGGCTGCTGGGGGAGCACCAGGGAGTCGCACATTTCTATCATCTGTTTTCCTTATTGTCATACTCCCTAGACTTTGAAGCATTTTAAAAGGTTATGGTTCAGGATGGAATTCTATGAATTTGAAACATTCCTGCTTGGAATACCTAGAGAGGCTTCTCTTTTGCTCTGAGGACCCTGGCTGATGCCATCACCCACAATCCTCAGGTGCAATGATCTGGGGGAAAAGGAGTCAGTCAGGGGGCCAAGGAGCCTCTTTGCCCTTCTCCCAAAGCCTCCAGTGACCTCCGAAGGGGTGCTGCCTCTGAGAAACTGTCTGAGCAGGTGCAGGCATCAGAGGAGCAGCGGGGACAGCCCAGCCCCTCACATCTGCTTCCCTGGTGGTTTATGTTCTGACCTGTAACGCTGTGGTCGGGTAGCTGTTGTGCTGTTGGCAGTAATAGGTCCCAGCATCTTCAGGCTCCAGGCTGCTGATAGTGAGGGTGAAGTCTGTCCCAGACCCACTACCGCTGAACCGTGATGGGACCCCAGTTCCCAACTTGGATGCTTCATAGATCAGGAGCTTAGGAGCTCTCCCTGGCTTCTGCTGATACCAGATTAACCACTTGTTAGCATTCTGACTGGCCCGGCAGGTGATGGTGACTCTGTCTCCTGGAGATGCAGACAACGAGGATGGGGTCTGGGTCATCTGGATTTCAGAACTGGCTCCTGAGATTGGAAACATAGAAACAAATAGCCACACTATGAATCATGTTATAAGAGGTCTTCCCTGGAAGGCCAGGCTTGCCCAGGGTTCTCCTTCCCTACCTGGGAGCCAGAGCAGCAGGAGACCCAGGAGCTGAGTGGGAGCCTTCATGTCCACGCTATCTCCTGACTGGGACTGCGTCCTGCAAGCAGTGTGACCGGTCTGTTAATCAGCGTTCAGGGAAGTGGGCTGTGCTCCAGTGATATGCAAATCAGCAGGGGATGGAGCATAACTGGGCACAGCCATAGGGTTGAGTTATCTCAGTAATGGTACAGATGCAATAACCCTTCTGCTCTGGGCAGCAGAGACATTTTAACAATGTTTATTCTTGCAATCCATGGGCATGGAATGGTTTTCCTTTTCTTTGTGTCCTCTTCAATTTCTTTCATCAGTGTTCTGTAGTTTCTAGAGTACATCCTTTACCTCTTTGGTTAGGTTTATTCCTAGGTATCTTACAGTTTTGGTTGCAGTTGTAAATGGAATCAAGTTCTTAATTTCTCTTACTCCTGTCTCACTGTCAGTGTATAGAAACGCAACTGATTTCTGTGCATTGATTTTCTGTCCTGCCACTTTGCTGAATTCCGGTATGAGTTCTAGTAATTTGGGGGTGGAGTCTTCTGGGTTTTCCACATAGACTATCCTGTCATCTGCAAAGAGTGAGAGTTCGACTTCTTCTTTGCTGATTCAGATGCCTTATATTTCTTTTTGTTGTCTCATTGCCGAGGCTACGATTTCTAGTACTATGTGGAATAGCAGTGGTGACAGTGGACAGCCCTGTCATGTTCCTGACCTTAGGGGAAAAGCTCTCAGTTTCTCCCCATTGAGAATGATATTTGCTGTGGGCTTTTCAAAGATGGCTTTTATGATATTGAGGTTTGTTCCCTCCATCCCTGTGAAGAATTTTAATCAAGAAAGGATGCTGTACATTGTCAAAAGCTTTTTCTGCATCTATTGAGAGGATCATATGGTTCTTGTTCTTTCTTTTGTTTATTAAGTGTATCACATTGATTGATTTGTGATGTTAAATCATTCTTGCAGTCCAGGAATAAATCCCACTTGGTTGTAGTGAATAATCTTTTCAATGTACTGTTGGACCCTATTGGCTAGTATTTTGGTGAGAATTTTTGCATTCATGTTCATCAGGGATACTGGTCTGCAATTCTCCTTTTTTGGGGGGGGGAGTCTTTATCTGGTTTTGGGATCATGGTAATCCTGGCCTCATAGAAGGAGTTTGGAAGTTCCCTCCCATTTCTGTTTTTGGAAACAGCTTCAGAAGAATAGACATTAATTCTTCTTTAAATATTTGGTAGAATTCCCCCTGAGAAGCCATCCCGCCCTGAACTCTTATTTGTTGGGAGATTTTTGATTACTACTTCAGTTTCCTTGCTGGTTACGGGTTGGTATTAGAAGACTTAGCACACTCAGGAAGCTTTTCGCTTGTGTTGCCTAGTGGGACAGAGCACTCAGAATGGAGTAGGACACATGGCTTAGCTGGAGACAACAGATTAACAATGGCAGATTCTCAGTATCTTGGCACTTACTTACACACCATGACACCCACACTTCTTTATCACTCTTCCACCTCATTGAATCTCTGGATGGGAGTGATGATGATTTATTATGCCAAGAATAGCAGGAAATTATAGCAAAGAGGAATCTCTGTGGCCTTGATAATATTCACAAGCTCCAAATAAAAGGAACCTGTACAAGATCTTAGATTGTCTGGGATTGTATAATATCTAATGGATACTGTCTTAGAGACACAGTAAGAAAAGTGTGTCATGAATCCTAAAGAGACCAAAAGAACTCTCTATCCACAGAACAACAGACAGGTTCTGTCCCATGGCCTCCAGGGAGAAACACCTCCTCTGTAGGCAAATTTGTGCTGCTCTGATCAAAGCTGAACACTGGGGGATTATTACATTTTTAAAAATGGAAAAAAGAAATAAAACAACTTCTAACACCAGTTTTGGCAGCCAAAGGTTGTTGCCTACATAAATATTTTTATTCTAGAAATTAAGAATTGGTAGAATTCTGAGTACTTACCACAAGATAAATATTGATATAATCTTCTTTGCTCCTGTCAAGACTGGGCTTCTCTGCAGGACTAGCTTTTTACAATAGCAGCATCCAAGTGCAGTGTCCTCCAGGAGTCCCAGGCCAGACCTGCACAAAATTGTCTGCAGAGAACATGTCTACCTGTGATGGCCACAGGACACAATCAGAATGAAAAAGGCCCAGAAATCCAAAGAAATTCTACAAGGTCCTTGCATTTGGTGCTTACACATCTTTTAAGACAGAGAATCTTCTTCTTTGCTCTGACGTCCTGATGCCCTTGATGTGATAAATTATCAGCATAGAGAGAGGACCCAGGATGTCTACAGATGGTTCTTCTCAATATTCAAGAATGTACTGATCAACACATGCATGTCAAGAATGTACTGAGGCTGAGGAAAATAACTGCATGAGAGTCTTACAGGGAAAATTTGCCAGAGCTTACACAGGGCCAGAAAGAGTTACTGTGTGCACCAGTGAGAATAGAAAACCTCATGGTTCACAGGGCATCCAGTTGAGAACTCAAGAAGTTTGGGAGTGGGGCAAATTACCCCTGGATAAAATGTTATCCCAGTCCCACCTAACAAAGCTTAAAAGCAAGACCCGAGTGCATCAGATAGATTCAAGTGGCAAGATTTGATATTTCAGAAAAAAAAAAAAGATAAGCAGCTTTAGCTTTAGAAATTGTCTAAAATGTAGTATTGTGATAAAAAAATATTTAAAAAACATGAACAGAGAGTGAATCAGTGAACTGTGTGACAACTTTAAGCAGTCAGTTATGTGAGTAATTGGAATCTTGAGATGAGAAAGTGAGGAAGTATAAGAAACATTTGGAAAAAATATTGGCTCATTTTTTTTCAGTTTTAAGAAATCATTATCAGGGGGGTGCCTGGGTGGCTCAGTGAGTTAAAGCCTCTGCCTTCGGCTCAGGTCATGGTCTCAGGGTCCTGGGATCGAGCCCCCGCATCGGGCTCTCTGCTCAGCGGGGAGCCTGCTTCCCTTCCTCTCTCTCTCTCTGCCTGCCTCTCTGCCTGCTTCTAATCTCTGTCTGTCGAATAAATAAATTTAAAAAATCTTAAAAAAAAAAAAAAAGAAATCATAATCAGGACCTGCACGATTAAAAATCCAGAGTCTGCTTGAAACCAAGTACTTGGTGGTTAAATATAGAAGTGCAAGGCAGATCACATAGAACTTCCTCCACGGTCATGATGTAATTGCAAAGAAGTTTCTAGAAGTTGAGTTGTGTGGGGAATGTAAAAAAAAAAATTGTCTCCAAAATGAAAACACATTTTCAGGGGTGTCTGGCTGGCTCAGTTAGAAAAGCATATGACTCTTGATTTTGGAGTTGTGAGTTTGAGGCCAATATTGGGTGTAGAAGTTACTAATATAAATAAATAAACTTAAAAAAAGAAAACCACATTTTCTGTAACTGAGAAGCAGACTCCACACCATGAAGCCCTCTTTAGATTTGAAACATATGTATATATGCATTTATTTAGTAACCTGTAAGGTTCTCTACTTTGAGTGAGACCCAGAAAAGAACAACACTCTGCAGCAAGGACAACCTATAGAGGACTTTATGATCCAGCAGGACAGTGATGCTTAAAGTGTCTGGGACACATAGGGAGAGCATTTGGAGGCTCCAGAAAGCCCCAACAGGAGAAGCACAGTACGGACATCTAGAGTATTAGAATAGTACTGTGATCTCTTCACAGAGAACAATTCTCTTTTTGAGATAAGGTCCTGGCTTACTGTTAAGTCCTAGAGAGACTCCATGTTGTATACAGATCCTCAAGTAGCCATGTGACCGAATCTGTATGAATTGAGTAGTAACATCCAACAAGCCATAACATATGCATGCACAGCAGTATCCTGCCATCACGTAGAAGAGGGATATATAGTCTAGGCCTTAATGTAGTCCCTGAGGCACACAGGTAAGTTGTTCATACTCTCACGGCACCTACACTTGCTGAAGTGTGCCCTTTCCTTCATCCTAATCCTAATGTGGGTTCTCTGTAGACAGTTGACCATGAAAAATAATAACCATTCAGATGCAATGTATGCAAGATATGCATACATTAAAATCCAAAGTAGAGTTTTATAGGCTTAAAGACCACAGTAGGAATAGTCAGGGAAGCAAATGGAGGGAGAAATTCATCTAGTGGGCAGAACTCAGAGTTGGATTCTCCAGTCCACTTTACCTCTCATAGAGATAACCTAAGTCAGTCTTCACTCATTCAGGGGCAGCGATTAACAGTGTGATCACATGATTGGATTAAACAAAACTGGGAGATTGATGATGAGCTCAAAAGTAGAGTTTATGAATAGATCTCTGGCTTGGGCACATGCTGTCAGAATATTTATGTCCTATGCAAATGCTCATTTCAACACATGACCTGCACAAGGAGCACTCGGTCATCAGGCAGAGTAGATGACCAACTCTGGGGATATTAGGTAGCCTCTTACCCAGTTCCTGCTAATTGAGCTCAGGCATAAAGTGGCCATGGTGTCAAGGATGAAGGCTATGCATGGGCTTTGCAATATGAACTTCCCCTAACCAAGACTTATCCAGCTTTTTGTCATTTGGTAACTGTCCAGCAAGACAAAGGAAGAGATCAATACTGATACCTGATCTCTCACTATGGCTTCAGGGCCTGGGGGTTCTAGCTAGCCACATGGTGGCTATATCCCCTTCTTTTTCCCCTACTTTTTAAATAAGGGGTATTTGAAGTGATCAACCTGGTAATTCATTCTTTAAATTGCCTAATATAAAAGTGACTGTGACTGACCTAGAAAATAAAAAAGTATCTCCTTCCAGGGAAGAAGGAGAACATGTCTTGAGTTTTACTGGAATCAGGGCATCATATTAGCTAGATGCATGGTGGCAGTGGACTTTAATTGGAAACACAAACACAGGTAAACAAGTGTTCTAGACATTGGAGGACAAGGAAGTGGACCAGATTGCCTATATGTCTGCTTAGCATCACTGCTTTGCCCTTCCCATCTGCATCACTTCCCACAATCTCTTTCCCCTATGACTCAAGATTTTGTTTGGTTAATAGAAGGTCCTTGTGTAAGATCTAAAAAT